CTCTCAGTGGGGAGGAGAGCAGAGGGATGAAGCCGCACTCTTGAAGGGGAAGCTTGTGTCGTTTTAATTTTTCCAGATGATCACCACCTGTAGACCGATTTATGCGACAGCTTTACTCATTGAATGTTAAGGTTGACGATTTGTGTTGAAATGCCACACACCATCTCGCAAGACCCCTAAAACGGAGGGATTTTTTTTTTTTACTTCAGATTTTGGATATTAAGACACTTTCTGGATGTATTTGGTTAGCCCGTGACGCTGGGCGATGTACGCACCTGTTGAAAACGACCATCCCATTCCTGTCGGAGAATTGACACTGTCTGATCGGACAGTATTGACAAAATGTATCGTCAATTGTATCGTTAAGCACCTTCGGGCAACCTTGTTGTGAAAGGCGCTATATAAAAATAAATTGAATTCAATTAATAAGGGCAGTGTGCACATAGTCCTTCATAGCTCACAGTATTTGCCCATCCACAACAAACACAGGAAATATTGCCTGAAAACAGAAAATTACTTTAGTTTTAGCCCTGCTGATCCGTATCTGTAAACAGTGTTGATCTGTGGGCCTGGGATTCCTCATGCTGCTACAGTTGAAACATTTCAGGGCTTGAACGGCTTATGCAGACCAAGTTTTCAACCAGATCTGAAACTTTTCCATCTCATTTAGAAAAAAAAATAAATAAGACTTCCACCTTTCGATTTGACGTCTTGGTTTTTTGGTTGTTCTGTGCTTCCTGCTGCACATTCCTGCTTGTGCGGTGTGGTCAGTTCAGGAGCTTGCAAGCTGTTGAACGGCAGCTGCGTCTTCACCGCCAGCATCAAGAAGAATTAAATGGTGGGTTATCAACAGAAAACAGAGTAAAAAAAAAAGTGTCTTCTCCTGCTGTACCCTCCCGTGTTGGAGTTGGTTCTCCCAGAGATTTTACGGTCGTTTCGGATAAAAGGAAACGTGTGATTGATCCAATCAGAAACCAACCCATGAGAATCGGGTGAATTAATGAGTCCGAATTAACAAACTGAGGGAGGTGGTGGCTGACCCGATGACCTGAGGCCAGACGTTAGGGATTTGTGAGGTACTGTGAGTCCTCAGGAATCACCAGGAGTGTTGGAACAGCCGGTAAGATTGTATTCATTCACTGCGATATTTATTTACGTGTTCTAATTGAAATCAATCAATCAATCAGGGTTTATTTATTGATCAATGCACGAACAGTGCGGTATACAGTGGTGTTGTCAGCAATGAAATGCTTTGGAAGAAGTAATAGGTTTATTCCCTGCTGAAAAGAGAAGAAAGAAAACACACAACGTTTCGGCCGTGAAGTTTTCTTCAGGTGTTTTAGTTGTGTTATACAGTCATAATAAAGTACATAAAGTAATCTGACAAAAAAATATTTTGAAGTGAATGCTTGAAAAACATGAAAAAAACAAAAACAAAACCTTTTTCATAATGGTTTCACACATGACTACAACCTGGACTGATTTGTCACAGATGTAAGTACTGTAGAAATTAAATGTTTTTTTTCTAATGCAGTGTTGCCGTGAGTAATGACCAAAACAACTTCAGGCTAAAATTCACTGATGTAACTGTGAAGGTAGAACAAAAGGTGTGAAAAAAAAAATTAAAAAGGATGACAGGCCTTGATATTCCAAGGGGTAATTGAAAATACTGCCTAGGAATGAAGAATGTACAGGTTTGAATTTATTTCTACATATACAGGACCTTTCAAAAGTATTCAGACCCTTGACCAATTCTCTCATTTGACTGAATTACAAATCCTACATTGAAATTGAGTTTTCTGTGATATTTATATTTCTAAGCACTGAAATGCATCATTAATTATTTTAATTTGACACTGTTTTATGTTAGGAAATACTCTTAAGAAAAATAAAAAAAAACTGAAATCTGTTTGTATAACACATTTTAATATTTTGTAGAGCCGCCTTTTACAACAATAACCAGGACAGAAGCAGGACAGAAACAGGTAATATAAGATACAGGATCACTGA